TGGGAGCTGGCTTTCACAGACAATGACTGGACACGAACTGGCCTGGCCCTGCTGTCTTCACTCATTGCCCAATGCCCAATATGGCTGAGGCCATGGAGAAAAGAGAGGCAGCTGTGGATTTGTGGTCTAGATATGGCACTTGACTCAAACCCCTCCTCATCCCTTCTTCTGGAGCAGTGGGAGATGGGAAAAGATAGAGTGGAGGCCATGTCCAAGTCAGGGTGAGAATTCAGCACACAGTCAAGTGTCTGTGCACAAAGTTAGAGTTCAGTCACTAACCCTGTGTAAATTGTTTGAGAATCAAAGAGCCCAGCTCAGTCTGGGGTCATGATCCAGGCTCAGGGTCCAGGGTGTACTCAAGATCAGGGTTTAGCCTGGAGTCAGGATCAGGTCTCACTTTCTCTTGTCTTGTAATAGAAGCCTAAGCCTGGCCTGAATTTTCTTATGGGCTGTCGTGACAGGATGCAGAGTCTACCTGTGGGGCTTTATGAGAACTGCCACCATAGGTTCATGTATTGCAATATTTGCTTCCCGGTTAGAAAACTGTTTGGGAAGGATTAGTAGGTGTGGCTTGGGAGTGGAGGTGTGTCACTAGGGATGGGGTCTGAGGTTTCAAAAGCCACACACTTCTAAATCTCACTGTTGCGTACTTGTATCTCCAGATATAAGCTCTCAGCTACTGATCCAGTGCCAGATCTGCCTGCCTGCTGCCATGCTCCTCATCATGATGGTCTAACCCTCTGGAACTGTGAGACCCATATTAAGTGTTTTATTTTATAATTTCCCTCGGTCTTGTTGTTCTGTCACAGCAATAGAAAAGTAATGAGGACACTGTACCAGCAGGGCGTCACGACATTCCTCTTTCTGTTCACTCTTCAGAAGATGGAGACTGGTTTTCTTACGACAATATATCAGCTGAAGGGAACAGGTCAAGATCTGCCTCAGTTTTTGCCATGGAAAACCAGAAGCCTACCCAACTCGTTACCTTCATCACCTCCCTGAGCCTGTCACTGTGACAATTATGTGACCTCAAGTGTGTCACTGTTCACCTGAAGGTGAGCAAGGACAGTGGTCCTGTACAGAGACTCTCTTGAGGATCCAATGAGGTAGTGTGTACAAGACACAGAAGCACCGAGTAAAGGGACATTTCCATAGAAGGGTCCCCTCCAGGGTCTGTTGCCCCAGCTACCTTGTCAATCATGGGGAGCAAAAGGCTCAAAAGAGGCCTCCAGGGAGGGGAGGAGAAACTAAGAGGCCACCTTGGTCAGGATGCAAGGACCCTGCCTGGGTCCCTACCACAGCTGTCCTCTTGGGCCATGGAAGGTTCTTCAGTCCCCAGGGTATGACTTACAGAGGATGACCTGAATCATCATTTGGAGAGGAGCACCACTCCTTGGAAGTATACGAAGGCCAGAGAGAAACTGGAAGGAGGAGGGGGAGGGGAATGGAAAACAGATGAGACTTTGCTGACAACACACTTTCCACCCTCCCCAGACAGAGGGGCTCATTTCCAGGACCTAAGAACAGTTAACCTTAGAAACCTGGAACTATGGAATTGTGGAAGCCGGAACCATAGCTGTCCCAGGCTGCTGAGTACCCACCACCTCAGGATGTCAGAAGTTCAGGACCTGGAAATCTAGAATCTAGAACCTTAACACCCAGACTCCTTAAACCTTGAATTCCTGAACCCTGTAAATTCAAGCCCCCAGAAGGCTTAAGCCTTTGGGGAGCCCCAATTCCCAGTTTCCTCTAGCTTCTAATTCACAGGTGCTTCAACAGTCATTTTAATAAAAGTGTGTTGATTACATGAAACATTAGGTTAAAGGGCACAGGTGGTGATGGATGTGTTAACAGCTCAAGGCATCATCTGTGATTTCTGCCTCCTCTCTCTGCAGCCCAGCTATGGAGGAGGAGTAGGTGCACACAGACCTCCCAAATAGAAATCTGCATCTCACAGGAACAGAGTCCTGAGCACACAGCCACACCTACAGATACCTCTCCTGCCCGTATCAGTCTTTAGGTACCAAGAGCTGCTACAAGACTCACTTCTATTTCCCTTGCAAGGGAGTCTCTCTCTGTCGAGAATGTAGATACTATGACCATCATGGCATTTTGTCTGCAAAAGGAGGAAATTAGAAAGCTTGGTTAATATTTGAACACACGGTAAAAAGTCCTCTGGAGGTCAGGGGACCCATAACTCTGCTCCACGGTCTCATTATTGTTGCCCAGTGGTCCATATCTGTATGGACCATCAGTGAGCATCTGAACATTTCATTCCTAAGTATCTGTTTCCTCAGTGCCTGGGTGCTCATCACAACCCCTACACAGCATCATTTCCTCAGCCCCCACTTACACAGCACCAGGATGATCCTTGGGGAGCTGGAAAAAACCCTTCAGCCTTTAACTTCTTTCATACACAA